TATCATCAATATTAGGAATGCAAATCAAACTATAACGAGATGCCTTTAGATGGTATTAAAGCAGAATAAGTGCTGTGTGCGAATAGGATCATTGGTGCAACTGTTGTGCAGTCCGGTAGGATGCCCAGGGTACACGCCCCCCAGTGGAAACCGTATGGGCATTCCTCAACAAATTAAACATATTACTTATATGATGTAGCATTCAGATTTTCTGAGTAACCCCAATAACCTGAAAGCAAGTCTTGAGGTACTCTGTACTGGTGAATAGTTTTCAACGTACAAATGTGGATTAATCCAAGTGTGCATTAAGATGAACAAATAAATGAAATATCATGATATCATCAAGGAATATTATTCAGCCCCCTTCAACAAAAGAAAGGAAATTCTGATATGTACAACATGTCGGTGGGCCTGAGACTTATGCAAGGTGAAAAGCCGTAAGAGAAGGAAAAACTGTGAATATCACTTATTTTGGAGGTCCACATTTACAAGAGAAAGTCGAGATGTCATTGTTCCGTGGCTGCGGAGGAATAGGAAAATATATTTTTGGTGTTATTAGGTTCCAGTGTAGTAAGGAAACAGAGTGTATGGGTCGATGTGGGGATAGTTGATAACCACTAGGGGAACACTTGGAACATTGGAGGGAAAAAAGAGAGGAAGAAAGATAAAGAAGGACACTGCCCCGGCACAGAGCACTTCAACACACACTCCTTCAACAGGGGCACCCACATATGTCCCCTAATCCAGCTCCAGCCTCAGCTCCATATCTCAGGATTCTCCACATGGGGGTCCGACCATGCAAAGCTTCTGGGGGTAGCTACGAATACTGCCTGTGGGTTTCATACTCGACATCAATGCCATTGTGTGTCAGTCCTACTACTGCCAGCTGCATCCGCACTCCTGAAGTGCTCTGCCTCTTCCAAAGCGTCCTGGGTGGTGAAACCCAGGCTGGATGAGGCCTGAGGAGTTTTTCTTTTGTCACAAAAGGGAGAGCCCTGACTGCCACCCATAGATCCAGAGGCTCACAGGGAGCCCAGCACAGCCTCCACTGGCTCTGGGGCCTTGAGCAAATGCCTGACCCTCTCATTCTCAGTTTCCTTGTCTCTAAAACAGGCAAGATAATTCTGTCACCTTGTGGGAATATTGTAAAGTTCAAATGCCACACAATAGGTATAATGTGCTGGGCACAGTTCCTGGCATAAAGCCAGCACTCAATAAATGCAGGTTATTCTTTGTGTAGCTCCAGGACTGGGAAAGCGTCTCAAAGGAGGGAATGGAACAAGGGGCATCAAAGAGAAAGGAGGATGGGGGCATCACCTCAAAGCGGGAGATGAAGTCCTTCAGGTTTGGGAAGGCGTCCAGGCAGCTGGGCTCAAATATACGTTTCACGTCAAGGACATCATAGGCGAGGAAATCCACAAAGGTGATCTGCAGAAGGCCAAGAATGTGTGGTATGAAAACCCCGTAACACATGAAGGAAAACAAATCTCATTCCCCATTGCACTCCTCCTTTACCTTGTCTCCTGCAAACCATGGCCGCTTCCCCAGAAACTGTGAGTAGAGCTTTAGCTTTTCAGGGAGTTCCTCCAAGTATTTTGGCTTCAGTTTCTCCTGAGGCAGAAAACAGCTGTCACCACCCTCAGACAAAAGCTCCCTGCATAGACATGGCCTCCCCGGGGTTGTGGATGGCCCAGGCTGGCCGTGGGCAAGCAGCCGTCTTCCCTGCAACTAAAACTGGGGCAGTGCCCAGGCTTCAGTTGGATACATCAGCAGTTACTAGACTCTGACTGGGTTCCAGACCCTATCTGAAGTGATCAGAAGGCAGACAGGATTGAGATGCTGTCCCTGAATCTGTCCTCACTGTCCTCCCAATGGCCTCTGGGTCAGCCCCAGGAGCGCCTGAGCACCTGGCAACCTCTGGACCCAGACATGGGCAGAATCAAGGATGCAAAGAACTACAGGAGCTCAGGGAAAGAAGCAGAAAGTTCCTTCTCATGCGCTGGCAGAAGAAAACAATGAACGTTGAATAGTTTCCAGGGAGATGAGAAGTTCAGGTTGAAAGGAAGAAGGGAGAGCCACCTTCTGGCTGGCTCTGAGCTGTCTGTTATGAAAATGTGTGGATCCCTGTGTATGTCAATGACAGCACTTGGAAACTATTGAGAAGATGCAATTCAAGAATGCCATTACATTCCTTTATCTTGTACTTGAGTCTGTATATTCTAGGAGCAGGTAGGTGATGTGAACTAGCTGACAGAAATGACCCATGACACAGGCCAGAGGCAATGAAGGAGATTCGGAACACAAACTTTACCATCTAGGAATTGAATTTCTACCCTGGGATGCCTGGATCGTCTCCTAAGATTGCTGGGAATTGCCTCTGCTTTTGTTGACATTGGAGTCGTGAGAATAACTGTTGATAGTATGGGAAAGCACTTGGAGGATGAGTGGTACCAAGGACTTAAGGAAAGACCAGTGTGTGCAGGAATGCAAGAGTCCTGGCCCCAAATCCAAACTCTGCCAGGTGCACATCACTGGGGAGACTCACAAATTCTGGGTTGTAGCAGATCACGACCAGTTGCATGCGGTTGTCCATGATCTGGTTCTCCAAAATGTCCACACGAATCTTCAGAAGAGGAGATGATTTGTGTGGATATTTTGGAGAACCAGGCTGTAGATGTTTCCAATCAGCAGGCCGGGGTCCACTACAGGCCTGACTTTGTGAGTCCTTCTCTGGTCTGGGCCAGAAGCCAGGGAAAGGGGTGACTGGGAGTGGGGTGCAGGACTCACAAAATTTGGGTCAAAGCAGAGTCTGGCCAGCTCCATGCGGTTGTCCATAAGCTGGTTCTCCAAAATGTCCACATGAATCTTCTCCTCTTCTGTCTCCCCACCTGCCACCCACAAAACACAGACTCACTCTGAGCATCGCACCCCAATCCAGTCAAGGACGAGGCCACCTTCCCCCCACACACTGTAACAAACCACACTCACACAGGTTGTGCTTGCGGGCAATGTAGCGCATGATGGCGTTGCTCTGGGTGATCTTGTGAGTCCCATCAATCAAGTAGGGCAGCTGGATGAATGGGAAAACAGGGAAGCGCAGTTGGGCCACCAGGCCCCCCAGCATCCCCATCCCATAAGCAAGGGCAGAGAGGAGACCCAGCACTCACTGTGCCTGCTCATGGCAGGCCTGAAATAAGAATACTGTCACATGAACGAATGAGCTTGGACACAGAACATCATGGAAGGGCTGTGTAGACAGCCAGGAGTGAGGGAATTGGGCAGAAGACTCCGGATCCTAACCCCTCTAAGCTGGGAGAGGAGATGCGGTCAGAGACACGTTGCACTTGCCCCCAAAACCGCCCCTTCCCCTGCACCTACATTGGGAAAGTCCAGGCCCAGCTTGAATTTTTC